TAAGGTGGTTAGGTTGCACTCTACACATCGACAACAGCGCCACCTCACCGTTCCCATATCCTATTTGCGCTTGCCCTCCCTTCTGTGAGTTTCAAGGTTAAGTTGCCACTATTTAATTTACAACCCTCGTACATATGTAATAATGAAAGCCGAAATTAGTGAATGGCTACATCCACCGACAAATGCGGATTCAGATGAATGTCGTCATTAACCCGAAGAATTAAAAAGTTTGAAATTTGAATGAATGTCATCACTCACCGCTGACTTTGAATATCTGAAATTTGGTTGAATGTAGACTGGATATTGCAAAAGTCCGAAATTCAGATCAATGTGGAACTGGTGAATGTGAAAATCCGAAATACTAATAGATGTCGACTTCTGGTGAATTGGAAAGTCTCGAAATATTAATTAAATTTCCTTATTTCTCTCTCTCATCAGGTTTGAAGATGGTGGTGAATGATGAATAAAATACATTATTAACATCATTATTTATATCATATACTCAAAAAAATTTCGATGTTCTGCATCAAGGAGAGGTTAAGAAGAAAAAGTAATCCAAAAGATACTTCGTCATTCAACATTCGCTGCCGAATGTCAGCATTCTCACCATGTAGAAGTGAAAAAAATAATACTTAGGACTAAATTTTGGACATTTACCGAAATGGCTAAGAGAAAATTACAAAATTATAGACTTTCACGATAGCACATACATTTTAATATTACATAAAAAAAAATTAAAAATGCAAAATTTTTTTGTTTTACTGTTGCATAAATAAAGAACACTATTTATTTCAAATAAGATTTCATAGGTTGTCAACGTGGAAAAGATAATTTTCCTTCCCCCAGTATTTTGAAAAAGAAAAATATTTAGAACCTAAAATTAACATGTACATGATTGTTTTCTAATTTTTACCTGCTGCATAGTCTGCCAGTAGATCTCGTAATTCTTCAACTTTTCCAGACACTTCGACTGCTGATACACGTACTGAGAATCGAGCACCCGTCCTGTGCTTGTGTTCGTTGATAGCACGAAACAACCACCAGATGGCGCTTGGTATCACACCGAGTTCTTGAGCTAAATTGCTATTCCCAATCATTGTGTTCGTTTTACCTAGGGTGATTAAAATTTGGTGATTAACTTGTCCAAACAATACACTTGAAAAATAACTTTAAAATCCAATACCAAATGTTGAGGTTAAATTGCTAGTATGCCTCATGATATAAAAACTCAAAATCTTAATCTTGCTTCAAAAAATCGACTTATGATAATTTGAAAATGATTTGAAATGATATGATAATTTGAAATGATGAAGGCAATCGACTTATTTTGAGCGCTCAAAAATATGTGCCTATTTTCAAGAATGAGGGAACAAAAATGATTTGAAACAGAAAACGTAAAATTGTTAGCGAAAATGGATAATAAAAGCTAAAAATAAAGCTAGAAAAAACCAAGATAATCGCGAATGAAACAGAAAACGAAAAACAAATTAAAGATAAAAAAAACTAGTAGGACCGCAGTGACCGAGAGAGGCAAATCAGGTCAAAATATATTTTCCATATTTCATTGAAAACTTTACGTCTTATTTTTCAAATCCCTTTTGTTTTCTCATTTGCGTCAAAGTGGACTTGAGAATGGGCGCTTATTTTTGCGCACTCGAAACATGTCGACTGTTATTATCATCTTAATATTTTTTGAAGCATATGAAGTTTCTATATCATGAAGTACTTCTTTTCGCTTCAACCTTTTGGGATTATACATTTAGTAACTTTCCTAAATGAGACTAGTAAAAAAAAATTATGTCGTGTAAACATTATTTCTACCTTGTTTTATTTCAACAATTAAACAATTCGTATTTTTTTTATATCAGAACAAGATATTGTCGTAAAAAAATTTTAAATATTTTTTTTTCTGAATCTAATTTGCGATTTAAAAATAAAAAGTAATGATAGCTATTACAAAACATAAAAAATGCAGGACGAGTGCAAAAAATATATAAAAATCACAGCAGCTACTTGTCACATCGGGATATATCAGATAGAGAAGAAAAAAAGACACGGAATATGTTTTTTTCCGTCTTACCTAGCTTTGAGTGGCCGTACACGAACAGACAGCCGTCAGATCCACCTACGACGGAACTGATGACGTCACAAAGAGAGCTCGAACACACCTCAGCCTGAAAAAAAGAAAGAAAAGAAATGAAACACGTGGAATATAATAATCGATCGCCCCCTCTCTAACCTTTCACAATCATCTGTCGACAGCAATTAGGAGGAAGTCGACAGATTTCCTGTCAGGTACCTTCCATTCAGAGATGTGGCAACTAAAAGTGGAACAAGTCGACAAAGACATTTTTTTGGGATATTTTTTTGTTTCTATTTAAGATAGTTTTGAAATTAGAATTATTTTATATCAAAAAATAATCATCTCTTAAAAATTCTCTTAAAGTTAAAAGTAATAAGGTTAAACATATTTTTTTAAAACTACGCTTTTCGAGTAAACTAAAAGAAAAAGGGAAAAGAAAAGTAAACTAAAAAAATAGTTGTAATTTTTTTTTCTAACCAAAAAGAAAACGCAGAGTTCATCGTTTTCTTAACACTAGAAAGACTGAAACTTAGTATATACCTACATTGCCCAAAAGCAGTCAAAATGACTGCATTGTGAAAGTATAAATAATGTGAAAAGAAATTTGTTTAAAATTAATTTTTAATTTATTTTACATTATTTACAGTTATATAACAAGTTATTAGTAAATATTAACAATAGAAAAGTTATATGCTGTACAAAATTCTAAGATTTTGTGTCATTATATACATCATTGGTTTTCTAATTGAAATCAAAAGCAGTCAAAATGAGTTCCTTAGGCAATCTAGCGTTAAGGAAGTTGACCATTCCACCACTGAATATTCCACTTAGATCTATTGAAAGTGATGCGCTAACGTTTTACGTTTTTAGTCAGAAAAAAATTAAAATTATTTTCGATTTTTTTTAATTCAATTGGGCTAAAAAAAGAAAAGAAAATAATCTTAATTCTTTCAGACCAAAAACAAAAAACGCAGGCAGGGTTGATCGCTTTCATAAGGAACTTAAAAATTCCACTTAAACTATTAAAATTCCACCTACGTCTTTTGAAAGTGATGCGCTCAACGTCGTAAATTTTTGTTCAGACAAAAGAAAAATTATTTTCAGTTTTTTAAATTCAGTTAGACTAAAAAATAATTTTAACGCTTTCGGACCAAAAACGAAAAACGCATGATTCATTTCTTTCCTAAAGAATTTCTTTCACCATTTTATGATTGAGACAATTCCACTTACGTCTTTCGAAAGAGATGCGCTCTGCGTTTTATGTTTTTGGACCAACAAAATAAAAATTATTTTCCGTCTTTTAAGTCTATTAGATTTATAAAAAAAGATAAAATAAATTTAAGTCCGTCATACCCAAATCATTGAGAGTTGTTTTTTTTTCAATTCAATTAGAGTAAAGAAAAAAAAAAGGAAATATAATTTTAATTCTTTTAAACCAAAAACGAAAAACGAAGGGTCCACTTCTTCCTTTCTTAAAAAATTTCTTTCACCATTTTATCGGTGAGCGCATTTCACGTACGTCTTTCGAAGGTGAAGGGCTTAACGTTTTGCGTTTTTGGTCTGGCAAAATGAAAATTATTTTCTGTTTTATAAATATAGTACAAAAACCTATTTTCAAAAGTCCTTTTATTTTATTACTTCATGCTCTGTGCTTTGTGTCTGTTAATTTGTTTCCGATGAAAGAAGTTGTAAATTTGAATTGTCTATGAATTTTGTTTGCACAATTTGTGAAACAATTGTAACTTGAATCAGAATAGAGACACAAAGTTAAAGCAGAAAAGGGTTAAAAATTTTATTTGAGGACAAATTATGTTCAGCTCTGACAAGCGAATTCTTTCTGATAAAATTGCTGAATGAATTCTGATTGTAACAGTAAGGAAAATATTAAAATTAATATTGTCTTTCAGCACAGAGCTCTAGTTAAATTTTAAGCACTCTAACAAATGAGATAAATTATAAGACTTTTAATAAATGATTAATTCCCTTTTTTGATAATATAGCAATGAATTTCGTTTATAACGATGAGAAAACGACTGAAACTTTTATAGTCAGCCAAGACACGATAATCATAGGCACCGGCATGCGAGAATATAATTTAGATTATTTTTATTTTTAACTGGACCTGAAATATGACATGAAATTATTGACTGAAATAACACTATTTTTAGACATAAAAATGGTCGACATTTCGATAGACAACAAATTTTTATTGTTACTAATGTAGCGATGAATTCCGCTTATAGCGATGAGAAAACGACTGAAACTTTTATAGTCATCCAAGACACGATAATCATAAGCACCGACATGCGAGAATATAATTTAGATGATTCTCATTTTTAACTGAACCTGAAATATGACATGACGTGAAATTATTGACTGAAATAACACTATTTTTAGCTTACTAGCTAGACATAAAAATGCTCAATATCTCGATAGACAAAAAATTTTTATTGTTGAAAATATAGTGATGAATTCCTGTTATAACGATGAGAAAACGACTGAAATTTTTCCAGTCATCCAACGCACGATAATCATAGGTACCGAGATTCGAGAATATAGTTTAGATTATTTTCATTTTTAATTTTAACTTGACTGTAAAATATGACATCATATGAACGTGACATGAAATTATTGACTGAAATAACATTATTTTTAGCTTACTAGCTAGTCAAAAAAATGGTCGATATTCTGATAGGCGACAAATTTTTATTGTTGATAATATAGTGATGAATTCCGGTTATAACGATGAGAAAACGACTGAAACTTTTATAGTCATCCAACACACGATAATCATAGGCACCGAGATGAGAGAAGATAATTTTGATTATTTTCATTTTTAACTTGACGGCAAAATATGACATGAAATCATATGAACGTGACATGAAATTATTGACCGAAATAACATTATTTTTAGCTTACTAGCTAGTCATAAAAATGGTCGATATTTTGAAAGGCGACAAATTTTTATCGTTGATAATATAGCGATGAATTCGGTTTATAACGATGAGAAAACAACTGAAACTTTTATAGTCATCCAACGCGAGAATCAATTGCAAGAACGTGATTTGGATAATTTTAAATTTAACTTAATTATGTAAATACCATTACTTTATATGTATGTATAATGAAACGGTGATTAAGTCGAATAAAGTAATGCAGTGACCAATAAAAACAATATTGAAAAAGATAAACTAATTACTAGAATTAAAATAAGCCATCTTCAAAAATATGTCACATTAAAGCAGCAAACTATCTCATTAGCAAATATTTTATACTCAAGTAACGATGTGGCCACTTATAGATACTTCACTGAGTTCATTAAATGGAAACTTAAATCGTATCTTTTGATATTCATTTCGGAAGATCGAATGTTTAATGTCGCATTAACGATTCCGTTACAAGGTTTGATGCGAAGGTCGTATTAGAATGATAAGCTTCGATTTTTATGAAATTCATTAAAACAGCATTTATCTTTAAATAGTTACAGATTTTCCTTCATCATGAGATTTTTATGAATTTGTCACACGATTGTTGAATAATTCACTAATTTTCCTTACAATAATATTATTTGACGTTTTGTTTTTGGAGCAGAAATTTTTATTGGAGCAGATATTAATTTTTGAAGCAGATAGGACATTTTGGAGTGATGAGTCGTAAACTGCAACACATCTAGTTTATCCATCTGAATCTGCAACACATCTACTATATCCATCTGAATATGCAACACATCCTGTATATTCATCTGAATATGCAACACATCTAGTATATTCATTAGAAAGATAAGCAAAAGTTGAATACTTCAATTTTTATTAAATTCATTAAAATAGCATTTATCGCTAAACAGTTACAGATTTTCCTTCACTAAGCAATTTTTATGAATTTGCCATACGATTGTAGAATAATTCACTAATTTTCCTAAGAATAATATGATTTGACGTTTTGTTTTTGAAGCAGAAATTTTTATAGAAGCTGATGTTAATTTTGGAGCAGATAGGATATTTTGGAGTGATGAGTCGTAGACTGCAACACATCTAGTTTATCCATCTGAATCTGCAACACATCTACTATATCCATCTGAATATGCAACACATCTAGTATATTCATCTGAATATGCACCGCATCTAGTATATTCATTAGAATGATAGGCAAACGTTGAATACTTCAATTTTTATTAAATTCATTAAAACACCATTTATCTCCAAATAGTTACAGATTTTAATTCACCATGGGATGTTTATGAATTTGTTTTACGATTGTTGAATAATTCACTAATTTTCCTTACAATAATATGATTTGACGTTTTGTTTTTGAAGTAGAAATTTTTATTGAAGCTAATATTAATTTTTGGAGCAGATAGGATATTTTGGAGTGATGAGTCGTAAACACATCTAGTATATTCATCTGAATAAGGATCTAGTATATATTAAGGCAACAGTTGCCATTAACATATTAAACTTTTTCAATTCTTAAACTATTTTTTTACGAAAGTAAGCTCACTCTCATCAAAGGATATTAGTAACATATATTTTGCATCTTTTTTTTCTCTCTCGGCTCCTATGATTTTTCTAGTTTTTTTTCTCCGCTTTATTTTTTCCATTTTTCGTTGGTAACTTAGCGTTTTATATTTTAAACACTTTTGTTTCTTCTCATTCATATCTAACAAGTCTCGAAAAAGGGTGCCTGTATTTGAGCGCTTGAAGGTTATTACCTACTTATATGTTTTTGAAGCGATTATTTGCTTTTGTTTTTACTGAGATAAAGCCTTGTCGCTTCAGTTTTTTCTGAATTATTTATTTAATTTGATACTAATGAGAGTTAAAAAAAAAATTATAAAGATAAATATCCTGCATGAGTCTGAACAATTCATGATAAATTCTTTTTAGATTATCCAAAAAGTATATTTAAGGGCAAGATCAAACTTTATCTCGAGTTACAATCTTACTTTATTTATAAGATTCGAAGCTATTTTAACTTGTCTCTACTTTTAAACAGAATCCATTTATCTTCAGTTTTTTGTCCCAATACTACAATATATATATTTTTTCCCATCGCCAAAGAATCCCAAACCACTCTTCTCGACAAACATGTCGT